GCATGTACGCGCGTGTGCCGCAGGTGATGGCGCAATTTGTTCTAAAAATAGAATTATTGTCCCATATCATGGGGACAGCCCCAATACTTGAAATAGCGCACGCTTACGGTCTCCGTACCCGATTATGGCTCCTGATTATATTATTATATTATTTCTGTTATATCGGAAAACCAGTGTTAGATGATTATTAGAATTGTAATGCGTTATTGACTAGCTGCGATTAAAACGCTGTGTTATTACAAAGAAGGGAAATCAGTCACGTCCAGTGAGTTTGAACAATATTTCACATGTGATCGTACTACCGCGAAACTCATCGTCGCATTTAATACATTAAAACTGCAATTTGTATTAAATTAACTCACCGTAGCTTCAATTATAGGCATTAATTTGTAAAGATTGTTTTTTTTTTTTTTTCAGCCAAGCCGAATCAAACTCAATCGGATTTGCTACAAAATACCTCTTTACGTCCGGCAAGCGGAGCGTCGCCATTGCTTTGATAAACCACGTGCACGAAGCAATTTTTTTGATTTGCCTTACCCCCTAACCCCCGGAACAAGACCGCCTTAAACAAATCCCCACCCCGGGTACGGAGGGCTGGACTGGTCTCGGGGGTTTCCCGGGGGGGATTGTAACAGGTGGAATTGAGCCACGCATAAATACATTGTTTACAATTAATACTGTAGAGAAGTTTTCAATTGAGTGTCGAAAACCCCATAGAACTAATGTTGTCACTCTAGCCAATCACAAAGGACAAAGACAACCCAATGAACCAATCACAAATCGAAGTAAATACATGAAGAAAATACATGGGAAAGCGTGTGCAAGCAAGTGACAATATTGGTTTCGGTTTTACTTCTGATTGGATGAAAAAGTGGCGCGAGTTTTTTAAGCCAATCGTGTGGCGAAGTAATGCAAACCAGTCACTTTTCGAAACTCTGGTGAAAACTGCTCTATTACGGCATCAAAGCTCAAAGCCGTCACTAGTTTTTCCCNTATATTATATTGTATTATTATATTATTTCTATTATATCGGAAAACCAGTCTTAGATGATTATTAGAATTGTAATGCGTTATTGACTAGCTGCAATTAAAACGCTGTGTTATTACAAAGAAGGTAAATCAGTCACGTCCAGTGGGTTTGAACAATATTTCAAATGTGATCGTACTACCGCGAAACTCATCGTCGCATTTAGTACATTAAAATTTCAATTTGTATTGAATTAACTCACCGTAGCTTCAATTATAGGCATTAATTTGTAAAGATTGTTTTTTTTTTTTCAGCCAAGCCGAAACAAACTCTATCGGATTTCCTATAAAATACCTCATTACCGGGACAAAACCGCCTTAAACAAATCCCCAACCCCGGGCACGAAGGGTTGGACTTGTCTCGGGGGTTTTCCGGGGGGGATTGTAACAGGTAGAATTGAGCCACGCATAAATACATTGTTTACAATTAATACTGTAAGGAAGTTTTCAATTGAGTGTCGAAAAACCCATGAAAACTAATGTTGTCACTGTAGCCAATCACAAAGGACAAAGACAATCCAATGAACCAATCACAAATCGAAGTAAATACATGAAGAAAATACATGGGAAAGCGTGTGCAAGCGAGTCACAATATTGGTTTCGGTTTTACTTCTGATTGGATGAAAAAGTAGCGCCAATCGTGTGGCGAAGTAATGTAAACCAGTTACTTTTCGAAACTCTGGTGAAAACTGCTCTATTACGGCATCAAAGCTCAAAGCCGTCACTAGTTTTTCCCTACATTTTACACTCATTGATTCTACTCCTTTTAATCAACTCAGGAAGACGACGATGATGAATCATTTTTGGAACAAATCAGAATTCGTGATGACGTCTTAATCACAGGAAGAATCAACATGTAAGAACATAGTTTTGGTGTTTGAATACGGTTGCATTCTCCTATATAATGGTTTAACTGGCATTCTTAATTGGCTCTCTCTGTTGCAGCTGTGATCTCGCTGGAAGCGAAAGAATAAAAAAGAGTGGAGTTGAGGGAGAGCGACTATCAGAATTACAACACGTTAATCTGTCCCTCCTTGAACTGGGGTAGGTTTTATGTGCTTGACCTTTATGCGTTTTTTTTTTTTTAATTTGCTGTTGTTGTTTATTGTGTGTGTGTGTTTTGCTCCTATTCCGGAAGTAAGTGGAAGTTATGTCAAGTTAGGGACGGACCATTATTCTTTTGAGGAGGGACTGGGTAATTTCCAAAAAATTTCATTCACAGCAAAAACGGCGCGCTGAAAAAAAAAAGAATGTGCGTAGGGAGCCATGGGAAAAACTCGAGCAAACGCTTTCTGCTATCCAGGTCTTTTTTTGATTCTTGCACGAGTTATTGCCCACTGAAAGAAATCATGCACAACCTAGCGGTGAGAAAAAAATTACACGCCCGAGAACATTGCCCAAACCCCCCTCATCCACACTCCCTCAAAAATTAGTGGTCCGTCCCGCAGGCCTTTTCCATAGACTTATTTTCATGGAAGGCGTGATTGGCTGATGGTTCAGTTCAAGAGGTCTGGCGCCAAGAACTTGCTAGAATCATTGTGCTGTGTTTTTGGAAGACACCTTCTTTTAGTGTGCCTCATTCCACCCAAGATTAAGATGGGTACAAGCGAAGTGACTGATTTGCCTACCACCCAGGAAAAGTTATATAGCATTGTTGCTCGTAAAGTCTGTTAACCGCCTATACAGATTCAGCTTCTTGTTTCTCTAGTCCTATAAATCTAGAATGGACTTAGGCTTACTTGACTACATACATTGGTTTGAATCGTTCGGCAAAGTTACGAAGCTACTCTTTTTTTTCCACAGTAACACGATTCACGCATTGTCTGAAGGCAAAAGAACTCACATTCCTTACAGAAACTCGCCCCTGACTCGGTTGTTACAAGATAGCCTCGGTGGGAACTGTAAAACAAGCTTTGTGGTAAGACTTATTGAGAATCATGACTCTTAAGCCTGGTTTTCACGAGCGACGCAAGCACAAGCGCAAGTAGAAGCGCAAGCAACAGGGATGACACAAGTGAAAACGAAATTCGACGCAAACAAAAGCACAAGCAAAATCATCCGAACCTTCCAAGCTGTTTAGGCGCGAGGTAATCTGGATCCAGTGTTTTCATTGGCCAAGCACAACCACGTGTGGTAAAAATCCTTGTGCTTGTGTTATGCCTGAGCGGTATTTTGTCTTCACTTGTTGCAGCGCAAACGCAACCTTAAGCGCAATCACAAGAAAAAAGAAAAATTTTGATCCTTGTGTTTGCGCTTGAGCTAATGCCTGCGTCAAGGCCGTTTTCACGGTGAAATGAGAATAGGCGGTTTTCATGATGGCGTCATTTGACTACAACTACCAGAATCCTTCACTTTTTCTCCTTCTTATGCTAATTAGGACAAATGTTATTTAAACCCCACTGGGAATTCAAAATTTAAATAATAAGGAGAAAAAACAAAAAAACAAAGGAATATTAGACCGTTTTCGTATTCTCGGTATTGGACTGGAACTAGCTTGCAAATGAGGCTAGTGTGGGGAGTCTTTTCAAATCTCTTCTTAATGATATTCCCCCCGCATGAGCCTCCATTGCAAGCTAGTTCCAGTCCAATACCGAGAATACGAAAATGGTCTATTCTGGTAGTTGTCTCTCAGTCAAATGACGACAACGTGCAAATCTGCTATTGCTTTGCTTNAAAAAAAAAAAAGAAAAAAAAAAGAAAGTTCTTGTGGGAATATGATGAACATATAATCTGAGGGAAGTATACAGCCGTTATAAATGTTTCGTCATCTTAACACGACGAGATATCATTTCTTTCTGTATGAATAAATTTCAGAACTTTCCTATGATATGTATTTCGGGATTTCGTTCCGGTTCAACAGTCTACTAATAACCCTTCCACATGTAAGCAAACGTACGCAAATATCCCTCCAAAAAATACCTAGTGTGTTTACAATCGCTCGCCCAGGCGTTCTGCATGTGCCGTGTGCATTGCAAAGATAATTTGGGTGCAATACGCCGTACTTATTTAATGTATGCCATTTCTTCGCGATGCAAAAGCTCCTAATTGAAAATGCATGCCTGATTTGTCCTGTGTAGATTAATTCAGGGAGTAAATTTATTCAAAATTGATATTTGAATATAAACGTATTCACGGCAGGTTGATTGCATTGATAAATGTGACAGATTTCAATGTGTTTATAAATAGAATCAAAAGGCAGAGATGTTTTTACAAGAATCTTTTGTCGCACAAAGTGGTAGGATAGTTATATCTTATCTCATTTTATGTTTTCATCCTCTATATAAATGTGGCAACGAGAACTTTTTTATCGTTGATATTTGTGAACTATTTCTATAAGTTGAGAAAAATTATGTTGATCTTTTGAGAAAGCTTAGTGTGACAATTTATCAACCAACGGAACATATGGGGTTGGCAATTAGTCATAGTGCAGAAATATTTTTCGTCACATTATTGAGGAAGCTATTTCTTTTTTCAGGATGTAGCGCTCCTACAATTTGCGGCATGGATTTAATTCAGTAGCTAGATTAAAAAAAAAAAAAATACTTTACCAGATACAATCTCGATCGATATTGAGTCACATGGGTTTCTGGTTGTGTGGATAAACTGAATTGCTAAAAATAAATTTCATGTTGAAATCTGTATGTTTTTTAACACCGGATCGAGCGCGCGATTCTTTAGGTAACGTAAAGGACACCCCCCTAAAAAGTCTTGTTTTCTTTTTATCTCTTAGGAATCTATCAAGCTAATTTCAGTTACAAGGCCAGGGTGGTTTTGTTTTGGCCTTAGGCAAATTTTCAACCGTCAAATCGCGGGAAGACATTATCCGCGCATTATACTGTGCTCGCCCACATCGCCAGTTGCTTGCAAAGCTCTCTCGGTGATGGCCTTATGTTCAGTTCATAATACACCTGGTGCTTTTGAATCAGGCTTATGATTGGTGGCTTTTTAAAAAGACGCGTTTTGATTGGCGGCTGTGTTGTTTTGGTTTCGGTTAAGCAGGTGTTCGGATGAGCGGTGATTCTTTTAGGATAAACAATGAGGTCATTTTTTGAGCAATATTCGTCTTTGCGGTTAGGCGAGGAAAATTGATATGAATTTGCGCGAACCAATAAGACGATGCGACGGAGTGTTGTCAACAAAACGCCACGAAATCTTCGGTGAATTCACACGATGTTTGGAAAGCTGTCGCTGTCAGATATTTTGCTCTACGGAGGACGAACACTGCTTGGATGAAGTTTGGATGAGAAAAATTCGTAAACTGCATTGTGTATTGTGGTAGCCTGTTCGCCAACTGCTAGTGAATCTCATATACATCGCAGACAATTTGACATATTGTGGTATTCATCGCATATGACTTGCTGAGAGCTTACCAAAAGTAAACGTCTTTTGAGCTCGCTCCCTTTGAAAAAACCACACCATCGTTCTTCCGTCGTACAAAACCGGCCTGCCCAGAAGATGAATTTAATAGAAAAATTAATCAGAAAATCTCCGCGAAATGGAGGTACGGACATATGTCTACGGGCAAATCTCCGTGAATATTTAATTAAACCAGCAAAGCGTGTTCGTTGGTGATATTGGTGTTGTATTTTCGCAGACTTCTTTTGTGATCTTGTGTTTTTTTTATGTATATATATATATATATCATTTTGTTCTTGTTTCAGAATTGGAGATCAAAGCCCAGAAAGACAACTTTGAAAAGCAAAGCTACGCAATTAAGTCTGCTGCAGAAGTTAAATTAGCCGAAGTACAAGCTCTTCTTGAAACCGAACGAGATCTCCATAAAACTGAGGTAAGAACTAACCTTTGTGTGTTGTTTAACGTGGCCTGTTTTGGAAATGTAAATTCTCTAGGTATCCCAAAAAGAAGCAGCAGATAAATTAAGAAAATAACAATTTCAATAACATAAAAAAGTTAAGTATACGGAAGTTGCGCCTGTGGGCAATTTGAAACTCTCATACACGTACATACGGCGCTCGGGGGAAAAAAAGAACTTTCGTCGGTTCCTTTACTAGCTCGCTTAGAATAAGGTTAATTTTTTTCCTTCATACTACGTTGGAGAACGCCGAAATTGCAGCAAGCACTTCACGACTACAGCCTGCATTAATAGTTTTTAGAAATGGCTTTTTTTAATGGTACTGCATGAGCTAAATTGAAACCACATTGCGTGAAATATAGAAATATCGTGTTTCTTAAACGAATTTCATGTTAAGAAAATAATCATTTCTCTGTATCGAATAAACTATTTTTAAAATGTCCTGGTGTTTTCTCTTATGTGATCGGTTCCTAGAGTTTGCTTTTCTTAGTTAAATTATTCCTAATTATATCTAGGGTTTGTAAGCAGATGGATCAGAGGGACACACATAAATATGAGATTTCGGTTGATTTTTTCGGTAGTAAAGGCAACTTGCAGAGCAAATTGCGTCCATGTTGTCAAAAAATCCGTTTGCCGTCAAATTTCGTATTACGCGGTTTAAAGAGGAACCGCGCTTATTTTGGCAACGAGAAATATTTTCATAACAAGGCTAAAATTGTTTATTCTGGAAGGATAAAAAAGTTAGAATTATAGTCAAACACTGATCTAATCATGTTTGATGTCCAGAATCCGTATTTAAGATTATATTCGTCTTTTGCGCTCGGCTGAGTTTTGTATTGAGTTTTCATCTGTTACTGATCTCATTGTCAGCGATTGAAGAAATTTTGCTTTTACTATATCTGTCCTTTGCACATTTAATTGTGTGCTTCAGGATGTATTTACAACTGAAGATGAGAAATATTCAATTTTTTCTCCGAACTTAGTAGACGCCTAAAATTTTATAAAATTTGATTTTTTTTNGCAACGAGAAATATTTTCATAACAAGGCTAAAATTGTTTATTCTGGAAGGATAAAAAAGTTAGAATTATAGTCAAACACTGATCTAATCATGTTTGATGTCCAGAATCCGTATTTAAGATGATATTCGTCTTTTGCTCTCGGTTGAGTTTTGTATCGAGTTTTCATCTTTTACTGATCTCATTGTCAGCGATTGAAGAAATTTTGCTTTCAATATATCTGTCCCTTGCACATTTTATTGTGTGCGTCAGGATATATTTACAACTGAAGTTGAGAAATTTTTTTTTCTCCGAAAATTGTGCGCGGGAACTTAGTAGACGCTTAAAATTTTTAAAATTAAAATTTTTTTTTCTTGAAAGCAGAGCTAAAAGCTCATAGGAGGACGAGACAGTGTAAATTTTATTTGTTTATGATTTTAATAAATGTGGTCTCATTGTTAATTTAAAACAATGCTTATGGCCTCCTGCCGTGTCTTAAAAACTCTGACTTATCGTTGTNTGTTACTGATCTCATTGTCAGCGATTGAAGAAATTTTGCTTTTACTATATCTGTCCTTTGCACATTTAATTGTGTGCTTCAGGATGTATTTACAACTGAAGATGAGAAATATTCAATTTTTTCTCCGAACTTAGTAGACGCCTAAAATTTTATAAAATTTGATTTTTTTTTTCTCGGAAACGAAGCTTAAAGTTCATAGGAGGACGAGGCAGTGTAAATTTCATTTGTTTATGATTTTAATAAATGTCGTCTCATTTTTAATTTAAAACAATGCTTATGGCATCCTGCTGTGTCTTAAAAGCTCTGACTTATCGTTTTCACATTTTAGAATGTATTTTATGCCACTAAGTTGCCCTTGCGAAGATGCTAACTTACTCCTTAAGCCCTGTCCACAAATACGCCGGAGGAATTTGAATGCGAAGGTTTCACTCTGAAAACGCATCAAATATTTTCCGTCCACACTAAGCGGCGTGAAATATGAAAACTCAACAATCACCGGCCATTTTGCAGTTGTGGTCGATTAACCTTATTGTTTTCGAAAAGCTTCGTTTTCAAAATGTTTTCCGTCCACAGTGAAACGCAAAGCCGGCGTTTCCAAATTCCTTCGGTTTGAAGAACGTTTTCGAAAAGCTTCGTTCGTTTTTGTGACGGATTAGTGTGAACGGAAGGCCTAACCGTGGAATTGAAGCTCCGTTTTCAAATTCCTCCGGCGTAGTGTGGACCGTGAAATCTATATAATTATACCACTTTATTAGTGTACTAAAACGCAACAAATTTAATCTTTGTCACCTTGAACTCTTTAATAGTTCTTTATGGATTTTTTTTTTTTTACGGTATTGGCAACCTAAAAACGTTCAATTTGAAAATTAGCTGTGGTAATTCAGCAAAAAGTGGTAACTGTGTTAGTGGTCGATGGCTTTCCATAGTTAAGCGTCATTTTTCTACCTAACCATGCAGTTTTATGCCTTTTTCCGAAGATTAAATTCATGAATATGGTGACCGGAAGAATGCGTTTTTAAATTGGTATCATCAAGAGAATGTGAAAATCTGTGCATCACTTTTTGCTATAAATTAGATTCAGCAATTTCAATTTCAATTTCACTCACTCTTCGACACGAAACTTGTCCTCTAAAACTTTGTATTTCTGCGGCGTGTTGTACGTCATTCTATAAATTTTACACAAAGCTAAATACAGTGTTCTCAGAATCAGACTGTAATTAGGGTTTCCTCATAACTAGTACTAGGAAATATAGAAACATTTGAGTTTCAAATAAGCCGGTTTTTCTGTAGTACTTGTGGCTTAATTATAAATGCCCTCTGAAAAAGGCTTTCATCATGTTTTTTATCTGTCTGTTTCGCTAGATTCAAAACCTTCAACAGGCGAACGACAATTTGACAAAGACGCTCTTCGACGAACGATCTCAGAGGCGTGTTCTCGAGGGAATGCACCATGCTTCACTAGAGGCAGCGGTGTTGATAGAGAGGCAGAGAATTGTCAATAGCGAAGAACGTGAGAAACGGCGACTTCAGAGTGCTCTGGACGAGGAGAAAAGACGATCTTGGACGATCGAACAGCGCACAAAAGAAGAGTACGAGAAAGTTCTCGAGGACGAAAAGAAGCGCTCAGAGTTGTTAAAAGAGCTCGAGCGCGAAAGGCTTGAGAAATCACTCGAGGAGGAAAAACAACGAATCAGTGAATTAGAAAAACGTTTGGTGAAATCTCCGAGCCACGAGAGATACACACAAACTATAGCCATGTTCGACGAACAAGAATTTCCTCGCATGCCGCCAGGGACGAACCAAAGGGAGACATTGTACAATGTTTTACTCGCCGAGATTATGTCGCTACAGTTGCTTTACCAAATGCAAGATCTGTCCCAGGCTTGCAGCGGCGCCGATGACCTGCGGTCACGTGACAGCGGTTGTGCCGAGTACGAGGATGACGTTATTCATTCAGTGAGCTCGAGCGTGTTAGAAAAAGGAGGGCTGTTGTTGAATAATTTAAGAGGCAGGCAGCGAGGTGATAGTCGGTTTTCTCTAATGAGTACCGATTCATTACGAGAGTTGTATCTGCTTCAGTTTCCCCCTTCACCGAAGCTTTCCCGGGAGTCGCGGAAGCCTGGCTCGGTTCCGATGATTGCTTTGAAGAGCTCGTGCCTAGAGCTTCATTCCGATTCAAAGAAGAGCTTCTCGTCGACGGATTCCGATGGACCCCGAGGGCACGAAGGCACATCAAGCTCTAGTATGGAGTCGTTTCTAGAGGATGAGCCGCTGAGCCCGCGTTGCCGGAATCGACCCAGTGACAGCGGCTGCAGCAGTCAGCACAGCGACTCAGATCACTCCCCTGGGCCGAACACACGAAGTCACCCAGTCGACATTGCGGGCCGCGCGAGAGCCCAGAGTAACCCCGTCAAGCGGTCTAACATGAACGCATGCGTTCCACTGGCTGAAGAGGAAGATGAAGACCTTGATCTCGTTGCTTCAAATGAGATTTTGTCGGTGAAGAGGAAAGTCGTACATCTAGCGAACGACTTGTGTAGGTTGAAGACAGAGCTAGACTCGGAGACTATCAACTTCTTCTCTGAGGTGTTCGGCGTGGAAGTTCCCTTTTTGCGAGAAGGAGGTACGTATAGAAACGTTCAGTTAGGCACCTGCGTACTAAACAGTGTACTAAACAGAGTAACATAGTTAAAGCTAGTCAAGAGTATCGGAGTTACTGAAGTGACGTATTGAGCTGTTTTCAATCGAGTATCGTAATACCAAAACCAAAATTCTAACTGTAGCCAATCACAAAGGACGCAGACAATACAGTGAGCCAATCAAAACTCAAAGCAAAAACACGTAGCCGACGCAAAGCACGGGAAAACGTGTCAGTGAGCATGTCGCGATTGGTTTTGATTTGTTTCTGACTAGTTGACAAAATGGCGCCAGTTTTTTTAGCCAATCGTGTAACGTAGTAATGAAAAACCAATTACCTTTCTACTCAGGCCGGAAAACCGCTCTTTTTATTGAAAAGCAGTTGATAGTAACATTTAGATAGTAATGATGGCTGGTTGGTTAAATCACGCAGTTTTAGTATTGATAAAAGAGATTAACCACTAGAACGGTGAAGAAGAGAGTCTTTTTCTTGTTGAATCCATGTAAAGGCCGGGGCCGATGAATTCATTTGACCGAGTTTGATCTCTTTCTCGCCCGTTACTTAGGTCGTCTCCGGTGACTAAGTAAGTAGTAATTTCTTGATTCTGCCATTGTCGCGGATGGTAAGTCTTGAAAAGTCTAGCCTTAATGTTTTAAGTTTTCTTCGATTTGAAAGCCATTTTATTCATAAACAAATTGACTAAAATCATGGTAACATGTCGCCTTGAATATTTTCTTCCTTCATTTCAGAATCTCCGCGTGTCATGAGACGCTTGTTTGAAGGCGTCAAGGAAAATCTGCTGACCAGAATATGCGCCGGTGAGTTCAGCGAACTTTGAAAAGGGGCTTGAAGATGTATTATCTTCCGAAAGCTAATTCCATGAAGTAGTGAACAGATTTCACTTGTAGCTCGTATAAAAGCTCTGAAAGAGTTGTCCATTCTTTTTGTCCAATCAAAGAAGTTAGACATTTGTCTTTTCTCGGAGACGTTGAGATTATTGTCTCGTTTGGTCCTGTTTTACCACGAGGCCTGGTACCGAACTCTTATGTTCATTTTGAAGTTCAATTAATCAAAACGTTGACATCAGATCTAGTTTTGACAAAGAGGCAAGATCCACTTACCTCTTGCCTCCGAACAGGGCCTTCTCTCATTGCTTTTCAGCCAGTTTGGGCAGCATTCATAGGCTACAGGCAAATTACAGGTTTTCGTTTACATCTGATCTAGTTTTGAAACAGGCAAGAGTCGCTTACCTCTTGCCTCCGAACAGGGCCTTCTCTCATCGCTTTTCACCCTTTTTGGGCAGCATTCGTAGGCTACAGGCAAATTGGACATGGTTAGTGTGAAGAAGGCAGGGACTCGCTTGCATTTTATGACAATCACCTCTCAGCTGGTAATGAGTACCGTCAGAATGCCTTGGTGCAGTCAATCCATGCAGTAGTTTTTGAAATTCAGTGGGTTAATAGATTTAAGACTCGCTGCTCCGCAGAGGCTCAGGCTTTTTCTTCGGGCGGGGAGAATCCACAGAATGACATTAGTACATGCGCAGGCCTATTTGTCTTTGCGCTGCACTCACCTCGCACAGCGGCTTTTTCAGTAACGAACATCGGAGGAGAGAGGATTTGAGATTAAGGTGGCTGAACACAGTTTTTGATACCTGTGTTTCATTCACCTTTTTCTCTAAAACCCTTGATCACTCGGTCGCCAAAAATGGTAGCAAGCAAGTTAACAACACAAACTTTGGTTTTTTGATGATGAAACTGACGTATGTGACGTTGCCATGGCAACATGAGTAAATATAAACAGGCCTTTAAAATCGGTTTTGTTTATTTG